GTCTGGTGCCTGGATATGCGTTACATTAGCGTTTGTTTTTGTATGCGATGTCTGGGGTAAAAACAGAGTCAATTCGTCGCAGCGCGAGCACGGCGTGAGTTATGAAAACACTATTTTTTAAATGAAACTGTTACGATCTTATGGAGACAACATGCAGTATCACAGTTTATATTAATATGAGCAAATTGGAAAGGAAATTAGTATTTCGAGAAGGCGTGGACGAATGATCGCGAAAACACGTACTGCACGTTGTGAATAATAGCACCAAGTACACGATAAAAAACCATTACTAGGTATCGAATCAGAATACAGGAAGAAAGTTTCCTATCCAGGGCTTACTATTGGAAACGAGGTTGGAAATAAAGTGAGCACTGGGGAAGAGGTTGCCCAGCGTCCTGTTTACAAGGCGGGGGTTAGTCTGGTTCCCAGACCAAAAGATTCCGACTATTCCTGATGAATCTTAGGTCCGGTAGCCTCCGGTAATACAATGTACATTGTATTACAATTTACGTCACGTGACTAAAACGGGAGGAAATCCTCCTTTTTCCGAAAATTTCCGAAGTTTGCCGAAGTTGTTTCGTCGACAATCGGATAGCGCCCGAGTATTTCCGAGTATATAATATAGGTTTAATTAACTGCTAATTGCTTATTAATTTTATTTTAAATGGGTTGATAATTAATATTCATTGTTTTCATTTAGAAAACTTGAAATTCAACGACGATTTTGTGCATCAAATATACTCGGATCGTACGGGCGAACTTTTTGCTGCGTCATGTACAATTTTGAATTTGACGACCGTTACCGAGATTTTCCAAAACTCGGTCTTCATTCGGCTCCGCCTGCTAACAGTGCTATTTGGTTCCGTAATTTTGAAGATTCCAGATCAACATTACTCAATGTTATCTTACAAAAACATCAAACTGTATTATCATAACTGTATAATCATACAAAGCAAGTGATTTATTTAAAGATTTGATCAGAACATTAAAAGCTACAAGTGATAAAGCGAAATCGGAAACGAAGCCGCGCTTTGAAAAAGGGCCATTAATGTCGTCATGTTTATTTTTAGCCACGGAGGCTGCCTGACCTACAATTTAAGACGTGAGTGTCGGGAATAATTGTCAGGTCTGGGAACCAGACTAGGCGGGGGTACGAGCGAACACAAGAATCCGAACAAAGATGGGTTCTATATCGCTTGAGGGCGCTGTTCTTACCGCGCGTCTTATTTAAACTTGCATAGGTGCGTTGATATTTACTTGCATAAGTGTAATCCATACATTATGTTCTCGATAATTTTTCTACTCGAAGACGATTTGATGGTTGCCGACCTGTAAAAAGACTTAAAAAAAAAAACCACAAAAAACGCGCGCTTCCAAAATTTAAAGTGTTTTTTTTAATCGTGTTCCATTTTTCTTTTGTTTTAACAAACCTTCAAGTTCATGAACGTCAAATGCTATTATACCAAAGAATTTGAGATCATGCAAATCGTGATTTGGCCGGCGTAGGCAATGTTGGGCCTATTTACTGGCCCGCACCTGATGCATTAATAATAGAATCACCTGCACAATATTTGGAGAGCGCTGTCCGTGTCGCGCGTACTGAGTATTGCATTTTGCAAACGTGTCTTGAGTATCGTAGTCCTACATTATTTTCCTTAAAATGGAATGTCAATATTGAAAGTACTAAAATTGTGTGTACAGGATGAATGATGCATTTGAATCACAAGCTTGTTCTATTTATCTTGAAGTTATGATATTTTTTAACACACTTTTTGCTCATAAATCCACAGGTTAATTAGCACATGTTTTTAATGAGAGTGTTTACAGGCTTGGATTTACCCCTGTTGTCTTAGTTTTACAAATTGCAGCCCGAAATGGATTGAGTTTTGTTTTAACTGGCTTGAAATTGAATGACGGCGAAAATGTTTAACAATTAGAACAATTTCAAATCGCCCTGTAACTTTTGAGATTATCTATCGCTGTACCTTATCGTCTGCAAAAAGGAGGTCAAAAGAAATGAACCACAATTTAACAAGATGGTAAAACTGTAGGTCTATACTTCTGAATTATGAAACTTTTATCTGCAAAGAAATTGATGAAAATGTCTTGAACAAAGAGAACTCGATATTATCTTGTAAACTATAGTAATGCAATTTATATACCGTAGTAATACAGTTTTCAGTTCAATTCAATTTAATTCAATTCAATTCAATTCAATTCAATTCAAGAAGACATTTATTCCACACTCCTTTAGAGAATACATCCATAAATAACAGAAAGACTGGTAAATAGCAAAATAGCAAAATCAATAAATTGTCTCAAAAATAATAAAAGTAAAATGCGCTTTGAAGAAATGATAAACTTATTTCAATATAAATTATGTACAAGAAAAAGTAGGGAGTATGGGGCTGTTTAAGTAAGCCGAGGCTTGTAGGAAACAGCCATTACCGACAACACTAACAACAGAAAAACAACATGATAACGACACACGGACGAGACAGACAAGACAAACGACTTAAGGAGATATATAAAGGAGAGAAATTACATAATGGGAGAGGAGGACTCGTTTATAAGAGATCTTAAATCGACCCCCGGGCGACTCCGTTCTTATGTCATTGGGGATGGCATTCCATAAACGAGGACCGTAAAACCGAAGGGTGTTGATAGAATACAAGGTGCTGGTGAAGGGGAAAAAAAGATTATTGCGGGATCTTGTTGAATAATCATGAATTTCATGAACTGAGGTGAAGTATGAGGAGAATGTGCGAGGGAGAGATTTAGCCTGTACATGCATATAAAATGACGCAGGTCGATTCAGCATAATACAGTAACATGCGTGATGCACAAAAACAAACACCATAGATCGATTCAGCCTGTACATGCACATTTCACGCACAAAAACCATCTCAAACGCCACAGGTCGATTTAGCCTGTACATGCATATAAATCACGCACAAAAACCATCTCAAATGCCACTGGTCGATTTAGCCTGTATATACATGCATATAAATCACGCACAAAAAGCATCTCAAACGCCACAGGTCGATTTAGCGTGTATAGATTACGCACAAAAACCACCTCCAACCAAGGGCGGATCCAGAACACAATTTTTTGGGGGGCCAAAAAAAATTTGGGTCCCCCAAAAAAGTGGTTAAAAAAATTACGGCGTGGGGTTCGGGGCCCGCTTAAGGGCCCCGAAAAATTTTTGAATTCTAGATGCTCTGTGGTGCGATCTGAGGCAATTTCTGACCACTTTAACCAATGTTTTTTTGAGGAAAAGATGGTGGTGTACTCATTGCCTGCCTTTATTGCGATGTCACATAAAAATAAAAAAAAAATTGGTTTCGTTTTGGGGGGGGGCCATGGCCCCCTTTGCCCCCCCCCCCCCCCCGGATCCGCCCTTGCCTCCAACGCCACAGGTTTATTTAGCCTGAACATGCATATAAAATGACGTGCAAAACCACGTCACTTGAACACCAAAGGTCTATTTAGCCTGTACATGCATATAAATCACGCACAAAAACCATCTCAAACGCCACCGGTCGATTAGCCTGTACATGCATATTTCACGCATAAAAAAACCGTCTCAAACGCCACAGGTTGATTAGCCTGTACATGCATATTTCACGCATAAAAAAAACATCTCAAACGCCACAGGTCGATTAAGCATGTACGGTAACATTCGTAATGCACAAAAACCACCTCAAACGCCACAGGTTGATTTAGCCTGTATATACATGCATATAAATCACGCGCAAAAACCACCTCAAACACCACAGGTCGATTTAGCCTGTACATTCATATTTCACGCACAATAAAAAAAACATCTCAAACGCCACAGGTCGATTTAGACTGACCACTCATGCATATAAATCACGCGCAAAAACCACCTCAAAACGCCACAGGTCGATTTAGCCTGTTCATGCATATAAATCACGCACAAAAACCATCTCAAATGCCACTGGTCGATTTAGCCTGTACATGCATATTTCACGCACAAAAAAACATCCCAAACGCCACGGGTCGATTTAGCCTGTACATGCATGACACGCAAAAACCACCTCAAACGCCACAAGTCGATTCAGCATATGTACATGTACGGTAACATGCGTGACGCAAAAACCACCTCAAAAGCCACAGGTCGATTCAGCCTGTACATGCATATAAATCACGCACAAAAACCATCTCAAACGCCACAGGTCGATTTTAGAATTACGCGCAAAAACCACCTCAAACGCCACAGGTCGATTAAGCATGTAACATGCGTGACACATCGATCATCTTAGATAGCTCCAGTTTCTAACCTTGCCGCATGTTAGGAAAACTATCTAAACTGCTCACTATTCTAGATTGCACCTCACGGTTATCGAGAAAGTTGTTGGAGGATTTCTTGAAAATTTAGTATTTAAATTTACATTCCAATAATTTAATTAATTACTGAATTACTTTCTCTATTGGCATAAGTGAGCAAGTTACGGCTCGCATTATCATGGAATTATCGGAGAGCGTCGTACATGCAGACCGGTTTCAATGTGGAGACCGCTACAGAAATAAAGAAATTAAAGTATGAATGCTGAAGAAACTGTACATGCGTGACGCACAAAAACCATCTCAAACGCCACGGGTCGATTTAACCTGTATAAAAACATGCATGAGAAACCATGCCGAGAAACAATCTCAAACGCCACAGGTCGATAGTACATGCATGTCATTTCGTGATCTAAAATGCCACAAATAGAAATGCTAAAAATACTCATTAAAAGTGCGATAATTTTTGAGTCGAAAATCACATGGAAAACATTACAAAATGTAGTGACATGGAAAACACAAAGAACCTCAACAACAACAACAAACAGTATAACCACCACGGGGCAACATTATCAAATGTAAGCCACTGAATGACTTTATCAAGTCTAATACTGCCTCGCACGGCGCCCTCGTGTGATACAAAATTCATTTTTCTTCGGATCTTTTTGCTGATGCAGCGTTTGACCCTCCGATCCAGTGAGTGAGGAAGTTAAGATCTCAATTTTAGTACAAACATGGTTTGCCTTACTGTTTTGTTAGTTTCGGTGGCAGGATTTGTCCTGCTATTACTCGGCAGTCTGTTTCTTGCATACACGTTGTTTTTGCACTATTTGCATGTGAAATACAGCCACATTCCAGGACCAAAGCGAACGAGGTAGGCAAAATAAAGTTAAGGAACTTTGTTGGGGGGCGGGGGGAGGGGGGGGGTTGACTGCAAGTTACGGGGGGGGGGGGGGTTGTGTTGCCCAATTTCTGTTCAAAATGTTATGGTGACTGAGGTCGTATATATGTTGCAGTCTGATACCACTGGTTGTGCGTGTTTATGCTCGGTAGATGGCAAGTTTGGGGCAAGGCAAGGATTTATCGGTCTAACTGAGATTTTATGAGGAAAATGTTGTAGAGGGTAAAACATGAATAGCTTTTTTATGGCAAGGATTTATCGGTCTACTGAGAATTTATGAGGAAAAACTTGCAGAGGGTAAAACATGAATAGCTTTTTTATTAAAACGAAACTACACTGGAATTGGCGAAAAGCATGACTATATAGTTTCAATGAAAACCGGTCCCACTCCTATTAGATTGGGGATGTGTGTGAACCTTGCTATTTGTTAAATTTGAATACAGAATGCTAGCAATGGCAATGAAACTTTTAAATGAAAAGAAAAAGAATGTGTGCTTTGAATCCTTCCATCAAGACTTGACTTGCTGTGAAGAGCGATGTCCGTTGATCAAATTAATCGGACGTTCTTGGCAAGTGCAGGAACAGTCCGATTTTTTTGTAGTTCTCATCTACCCTTCTGCCGCTATCGCGTCGAGGATTGCCTGAACCCCATGTAAATGGTAGAGGCAGATGTTACTCTCTTTTCCCTCAAAATGGTGTACAGGGATATTTACAACTTTGAATTGTCTTTTTTCCCCACAGTTTTTTTTAGAATAATGTGATTTCTGCAAAGAAATAATTTTGTGGTGTTTGTGCCAGTATTTGAGGGGGGGGGGGCATTGAATGAAAATCTGGAATTTTCATTATGATAGTATAGGCTACTTTAAAACATCTTGCACAGCATTCATCAGTTGCTTTGTGTTGCCATTCAGCACCCCAGACTCAAGGTCTGACAGCTAAAATTAGACTGATAGAATATATTGTATATCGCTAATGCAAATTTTCCACGTTTTTCAATAGATGGCAATTTATAGTTACAGAGGCAGTCTTGTACATGTACCGGTTCATTGGGTATAAGGCCCAAAAAAAGTCTCCGGTTTCTGGTATGGAGCTTGCCCAAAAAGTGGTGCGGCGACGCGGCTTTTTTTTTTTTTTTACCTGATTTTTTTTTGCTTTAAATGTTGGCTGATGACTGCAAATGGTGCCCGACTATAAAACTTAGTATATGGGAGTCCAGAGATGCCACATAAAGCTTATTCTCGATCATAACCCCATCTAAAACACGTTAAAATTGTGCAGCAGCAGGATTCCAGTCAAACCAGTGAGTTTGGCGGTTTTGAGACATCATCTTTCATTGAAAAAAAAACTTTTTCATTTTGCCGACGCGCATGGCTACGGCGACGCGCGCGCATACCAGAAACCGGAGACTTTTTTTTTGGCCTAAGAGCCCCATCTTTGGGGCTAATTGGGTCCTACTTCTATACCTAGATGGAGAATGTGTGGGACATATGTATTTTTGGACTCTGAAATATAAACTTAAAATGTATCGATAACCGCATATAAAAGTTCGCATGTAATTTCTGAGGAGATTTTGAGAATGTTGTTCTCACAGAACTCAAGTATCATGCACAAGTTGTGTACAGTGAATGATATAAGATTTGAGGCTTTGCATGGTGGGGTATCGGTATCGTTTCGGTTTTGCGGTAACACCATGTGGTAATAACTACTGCAGTCTCCTGACGATGACTACAGCAGGCTAGTCGAAACGTTGAGACCAAAGACAAGTTCTTTTAGAACTTACAGCAGGACTGTTCTAAACAGAACAAAAACTACTTAGCAAGTTGATAATAAGCAGGACAAGTTCTTCTCAGAACTAATATCTTCTAAGCAGTAGTTATTACCACATGGTGTTACCGCAAAACCGAAACGACACAGTGAATGAGTTGCTTCATGCACCAGTTGGGACATTTCTATGGCATTTTGCAACAGTAGTGTTCTTGTCGAAGTATTCACAAGACCTCGCAAGTTCTCACGAGTTCTCAAAAGTTATGCAGTTGCACAATTAAGTCGCAAGCCGTCCAATTGTTTATCTCCTGGTATTAGTGTTACGTGTGATGGGACTTGTGAATTGATTCTCGATGTACACGTGATTGACTTGTCAACAAAACTACAGGTGTTTTCTGTCCCAGGCTGAAGACTACGAATTAGTCATAAGCTAACCCTCCTGCTATTTAAACAGCCATAGACAGTCAAAATTAACTTCCACTTCCCCTGCTATACTTTTAACAAAGGCTAGTCACCAGCAGTCAGATCATATGTTGAGCAAGCACTGTGACTAGTAAAACTGGGTCAACAGACAACGCAGGCAAGTTGTGGTCACAGCTGTTTTATCACTAACCGGAGTCAAAGCATATATGTAGCTATCAAGTTACTTAAACAGTCCCAGCCAGTCAGTCCTGCTTTATGTTGGCTGGGAATTCTTAACTGATGAAAACAGTCAATTGTTTGATTTTGACTGAAAGGACTACTTGGCTCAGAATGTTTACAGAGGAGGGTAAGACATGTTAGATGAGCAAAACCCTCTTTTAAAACCTGTCTTCAGACTTTGTGAGTTTTCTTTTAATTTTCAACCAGTCAAAAAGATTGGCTGGGGTTAAAATGGTTACACCTGCCAAAAAAAGTGTATTTTTTTCAGGGTTTAATATTAGCTGTCTACTTTTCTTTCCTAGCTTTTATTGGGGCCACTTGGCAGATATGGCACAAGCGATTGCCGACAAGAAGTTGATGGAAGACCTCATGTTTGAGTGGTAAGTGAAGTCCTTGGATTTTAAATTGCAGATTGTTAGTTCTTGATTCCTTGCAAACCTAGCAAACCTAGAACATTTGTCCTTTGATTTATGACAATGAATCCTTGGTTAGGCCAATTAAAAAAATGATGTTGCGTTTCTGGTACTGTCAAAAAAAGAGAAATGGTCGGTAGGTAGGTTTTTTTTTATTCAGACGCTGATCCAGAGGGGGGGGGGGTGGGTTTGGGGCTCTGTCCAAAAATTTTGTTTCCAAACAAATTCCTAAAAAATTAAGTCGAACCCCCCCCCCCCCCCCCCCCCCCCCACTGTGACACCCCAAAAAGTTGTTTGCCTGTTCAAACTACGGTACACCATTATGTAATCTAGTGTTAATAATCGTCGAATTTGAATAGTGCCCCTATTGAAATATGGTACCAGCGGCAATAGCTTGTCTACAGCACGGCAGATGCTCTAAACGCCGGACTTTATAGTCCAACCTTAATGCATCTGGAGTAACTGGCCAGGTTAAAGCAGTTCAAGTAATTCAACGAACTTTCAGCACGATCAAAACATTCGGCCAATTTCACCCCCATGATGCGGATACAAGAGTGGGTATTGTGAACATGCGCATTCCTAAAAATGGTTGCCCCAAATTCAAATCAAATTGAGTTCGGCATGGCAATGGCACAGCGTTTAGAACACTGCCATGCTACTGCCATTTTGGATGGACGATAGCGCGACAACCCAAGTGCCAAAGGATAGTGTTGGGCCGAACTCATTTTGCCGAGCAAAATGGTTCTAAATGCCGTGCTATTCCCGTGCCGAATTTACAAAGTCAAATTTATTGAGTTGGGCACGGCGTCTAGAATGGGCCTGTACTATTCCCTCTGAAATCCTGAATGAACTCATCTATACAGGTATGCAACTTTACCTCGGATCCGCTGATGTCCTCGTTTTTTTTTACTTCTCATGAATGTACAAATTGAAAAACACTGTACAGAGTCTTGCGTGGTTAGGAGTCTCCTCCGAGTCGTTTTTTTCTAAATTCGCTGTTGCATGCCTGTCTCAGTGTAGCTGGTGGGCTACATGTAAGTTGTAGCCCACAACACAACGAAGGTGGTCACTTGCTTAGGGTGTGCACATACATGTGGTTTTATTACGACAAACTTTATTGCAAACATCTTTAAGTGAATAGAAAACAAATTTTACTGCCTTCCCTTTTCACAAATGCAGGTCCAAAAAGTATGGCAGAGTCTTCGTATTCCATATCTTGCACAATGTCAGCGTTCAGGTGTACACCCCAGAAGCTGTAAGGGTAAGGTTAAAGATTGTTTAACCATTGTATGAGATTGTGACATTTTACAGTTTGAGAACTATTCACCATCACGTAAAGTATTAAAGATGTAATCCCTGTGCTATTTTTCAGGTTGACCTCGAAAACTAGATTTGTTATTATCAATTGCAATAAATGAGACTTCGAATGAAAAAAACCTACAAAATTTAGTTGTTGATTTTTTTTTTCATAAAATTTGAATATTTGCTGCCAGAAAATATTAATTCAGCCCTCGCAGGGCAGGTCCATTTGTGCATTAAATGAAAGTCCTTCTTCATAAGGTTGTAGATACCCCGAATCAGAATATAGTAGGTTTTTCTTTGAAACAAAACACACACATCAAAAATACAATCAATTTTTTGAAGAGCATGGGGTATGCATCTTTAAGACATTGTACCCATGTGCATGTACATCACTGTTGTCATTCACAAGACTTGCAAATGCTATCCCCACTGCTATACACAACATAGTTGAAAATAGACCCTGGGCATGAGCTAGTCAGGGGCGTGACAGGGGGGAGGAGGGGGAGACATACTCTCTTCCCCGGCCCCCCTTTAATTTGGTTTTTCACAAAACAAAATACTGTGTCTTTTTTATTTGGAATTAAATGTCGCAAATATGGCCTCCTACTATTGTCCTGTCTTCTCGGCTTGAACAGCCGGCCAGTTGGTATTAAGTTTGTGTTATATGGAAACGGGTATATATAGTCATAAGTTGAGCATGCAAGATTGTGTTAATTTTCAGCACCACAGGAAATGTCTTTCTTTCCAGGATATCTTGGTTTTGGAGAACTTCCCCAAGTGGAAAGCAGGCTATCGGTCTCTGACACAGGTGTTTGGGCAACGCTTCTTCGGCAAAAGCCTTGTGACGGAAATTGACCATGAGAAATGGAAACCCATGGGTGCTCTGTTTAGTCCAGTCTTCCATCGCAAGTAAGTCTTGCGGAGTGAATTGTTTCCAGACAGCCAAGTATAGGCCTCAGTAGGCTTGGGCGGTTCCAGTCTTTCTGGAGCCGGTTCCGGTTCTCAAAAGAGAACTGGTTCCGAGTCAGAACGGGCTCCCAGAAATTCTATGAAAAACATAAGCTGTCGAAATTACATGTAAAGAATAACGGTGTCACCTTGTGAGGTCCGTGCTCCGTGGATCAATTCAGCGTGCACGCAATACATGTTATTCCACTATTTACTTGGTTTCAAATGTGTGCTTGTTTTTTTATGTGAAACTATGTTTAATGTGTTATCGGCATGCCGCTGAGAATAGAATGATTCACTGCATAGCACAAGTAGTTGAAGTACATGCACACGGTTCGCACGTACACACTACTACCCTGCTTTCACTGAACACCATGTAGGGTGGAACCGGTCAAGTGCTGGAATCGGCTCTGATGGACCCGGGTACAATTTTACCCGGCTCAGATTCGAACGAGTCACGGACGGTCCGGATCGAGCCGACTGCATTATTATCTAGCAGGTACATGTAGCAGCCAAATTGTTTAAGTGCGCAGCTGCGCGACTTTTCATTCTTCACCATGTGCACTGATCAGAAAGAGCTGAAGCAAAGGATGAATTCATTTTCATGCAACGATGGGTACTTTGTACCTGTACCCCACGGCCCGCGAAATCCAAATCTTGAAACAGCACTGTACCTGGGTCCGTAAATTAGTAGAGTCGATTCCCGCGGCACTGCTCAGAGCCTGGGTACGTTTTCAGCACTCAGAGCCGGTGTGATATGAAAAAGAACTCATGTGAACAACGGCTTTTTTGTTGCGTAATCGGTCCTTTTCCAATTATCTATGCGTGAGAATGCGCAATAGCACAGCGGAGTCCGTATTTCATAAGCCTAAATTTACGCTACACTGCTTGTCCAAACGAAATCATTCATGGTACAGGGCCAGTATTGAGTTCAAAGCTCTGTATGCGCGCCTCGTGGCCGGCCGCAAACTCGCAAAGGCTCTGTTCGGCTGTTTTTGTCTCCGACTCTCTGTGACACATTATGGGAGTCTTTGTGGTTTTCCCCGCCATTGTTTTGACTTGCCAGAGTGAATATCCCGGGCCTTAAGTTTCACGCGATTGAATTCCAATGTAACCGATTCTCGGCTCTGGGTTTTGTGCACAGAAATTAGGTAATTTAATCTAGAACCGATTTATTTTGCAGCTGGAACCGAACATAGCGGGTACCCGGTTCTCGAAAAGATTGGACTCGCGGTTCCGGTTCTCATATTGGAATGGGGTAGAACCGGGGAACCTCCAATACTACAGGCCTGCACTAAAATTCTTGCTCTGTCCGAGAGTCAGGTCAAGATTTGGAAAGAGGAAAAAGAAACAATTTATGGCAACATGATTGCTCATTCTCCCACTCGTACTTGTACTCATACTTGTTCTCGTACTCGAGTACATTGTTTCGTTCTCATACTATAGTCATCCAAATGTACTTGTACTAAAAAAAAAAAAAATCCTGAACTCATAATCATACTCGTACTCATGGTAAACTAATAGTACTCATGCTCATGGGAAATGTACTCAACTATAACACTGCCTGGTTTACACTTTTGAATTTTGTTCCTTTTTTCAGTCCTGTTGTACCAAAGCTTAAGGTCTGTGTTTTACACTGAGTTTGTATGTTATTTTTTTGGCCAGCTTTTTGAAAAGGTGTATTGTCCAGTTCAATACCAGCTGTGACCTGCTCCTAGAGAGCTTGTCTAAGAAAGCCGATGGGAAGACTGAAGTCAACATGCTGGACATGTTCAACAGTGTCTCCCTAGATTGCATCACCAAGGTAGGCCGGTCTACATGCAACAACTGTTTTAGTGTCGTCAGTCTATTTTTTTTTTTTTAGATATTTGAAGTCATTTTTACCATTTTAAAATCCTTCAAATACTGGTGTCTTCAGCGTTGGTGAGTACTCAAAACTGTTTGAGGAGGAAGTAAAGGGGAGAAAGATGAAAAATGCCTGCAAAAAGAAGATCAAAACAGGCAAATTTAGTTTATATTCATGCCTTTTTTTTTAAGTTTTTGCCTTTGGCCTGGAAGTTGAAGAAGAGATTAAAGAAAGTATAAAGAAAGTGTCAGAAAGTCCAGCTGAATTTCCAAATGAACCTCTTATTGGCACCCCACACGAACTTGCATGAATCTTATATTGAGCCTAGCATGACCCCCGATTGAGCCTCACATGAACCTTATTGAGCCTCACATTAGCCTCATTGAGCCTCACATGAGCCTCAAATTGAGCCTAACATGAACCTCGTATTTAACCTCACACGAACCTCATATTTAGCCTCACATGAACCTCATATTGAGCCTCACATGAACCTCATATTTAGCCTAACATGAACCTCATATTTAGCCTCACATGAACCTCATATTTGCATGTAGCCTCACATGAACCTCATATTTAGCCTTATACCTGAACTTCATATTTAGCCTCACATAAACCTCACATTTAGCCTCACATGAAACTCATAATTGAACCTAACATGACCTCCTACTGAGCCTCACATGAACCTCATATTTAGCCTCACAAAAGCTTCATATGCGCATGAAACTCACTGATGAAACTTGCAAATGAATAATTTGTTTCAACCGCACACGTGACAACCTAGACAGCTGATTTCATGAAACTTTATGCAATGGCGTAGGCTACATGTAACTCCACTTGCGGCACAATTTATTGCGCAACATTTTGGTTATGATACATGACACATTTTACGAAAGTATGAATTGCGTAAGTCCGCGACTTGCGCAACAGATTATAATGTAGGTGGCGTAAGTTGTGGCAGTGATTGAAAATATATTATTGCACAAAATCAAAATCAAATTTCTGTTTAAAGTCTTGTTACCTCGTGCAACATGTTTAGATTATTTAAAATGGTGGGACAGCTACGCCAAGTTTTGTGAAATTGAGCGTAAGCTTATTGCGCAGCTGCGTGTAAAATTGGTCGCGTAAGTCCTACGCATTGCGTAAGCTACGCACTGTTTCGTGAAATCAGCTGGAGTATGGTTGAAATTGTTTTCCCCTTGTTTTCACGTACCTTGTCAAGGGATATTGATACAAATGAAGAAAGCACAGAAGACAGAGTTTGCTTTCTATTTTTTGCAGGTTGCATTTGGTCTTCATGTGAACATACTCGATGAAGAGAACCCCCAGCTCATTGCAGATATCAGGTGTGCAGCAGAGTCAACATTTCAAACCTTCATCAGGCCTCTGCTATGGGTAAATGCAACACCTGTTCTATAAATAATATCCTTGGCCTGGGTCCCATATCTTTAGGAAGTACCGAATTGGTCAGATTAAAGTAATAAAATCAAGTTGAATTAGTTAAAAATCAAGTTGAATTAGTTAAAGGGAATATACAACATTTTGCTTTTGCTGTTATTCTCAGAAATGGACGGATTTTCGGGGTTAGTATGTTATAGTAAATATTATTTCACTGACTTGTTTGAACTTTGTGTTCGTAGATGCTCGGAAAACCAAGAAAAACAGTCATATTCCTGAAGTCTGGTTCCCTGACCCCACTTAAACAGACCAATATATAGATGCTGAGGAATTGTAAGATCATGGAACCAGTCTAGCTGCCTTGTACCCATTCATAGTTGCGAACTACCTAAATGTGGTAAATTGGGGGCAGTATTTGAAGAAAAAAAACATTTGTTGTGATTCGTAGATAGATGCGGCATTTTTTTTTTCAAATTGCAGTGCAACCCATCCAAGTCGGCTAGGGAATATCGTGAGAGGGGGAGACAGGCCGTCAACCGCATTCGCAAGATGGCGCGAGATTGCATCATGACCACCATGGAGTCCTTGAATTCCGGCCAGACGCTGGACAACAACATACTGGCTCACATACTGCAGACGTCGACGTTGAGTGACAAGAACGGCGTCATCACGGAGGTGGAGCTGGAGAAGATGGTGGATCATTTTGTTACATTCCTTGGGGCCGGTATGAATTAGGAATGAGTGGAATCTGTACATAAGTGCCTGTTTAGCAGTTAAAAAGGATCAGCAAATAATAATGATAAGAAGAAGAAGAATATTAATAATAATAAAAATAATAACAAAAAGGAAAGCGTCTCGAAACATCGATTATGGGGAAAGAGAAGTTTCAGATTGCAAGACCAAAGCTCAGGACTTGAAACTGAAACTTTCAAATTCAGTTTCGACTTTCAAAACAGGATGAAAACCTACCCATACTTCGAAGCATTTGGTTAATTTTAACATTGTTTGTATTATGCAGTTTATCTTAAATCAATATGACTTTCAGATACTTTTCTGCATATGATTTCTTGATTACATTGGTTGTTATGTAGAGAAGCGCCGCTTGTAGCGGATACTGGCACTTTATAAATGACCATGATTGTTATTATTATTATTATTAAGAGACCAATTATCTGTAGCAGCTCGAGATCAGTGCAATCTGGTCTTTAGACTCACAGGTACCCATTTATATTCCTGGGTGAAGAGAGACAATTTTAAAGTAAAACATAAATTTGAAATAAAACTTTAAGGCGCCCAACCCATGTAATTGGGCTTGAAACGATTTGATGAGGATTTGTTTGTGTTTTATTTCCAGGACAAGAGACCACAGCATGTCTCATGGCGTCTACTTTGTTGGAGCTTGCGCAACATCCGGAAGTTGTATACAAGTGAGTTGTGGGACTTTCAAAATACTTTGAGGCACTGTACTTCAGACCGCGGTGAAGGTACTGCAAAAATTTTCCCCCAAAAGAATTAATTGTAAAATGTTCCCTCGTTTCGAAAATACTGTATCTTTTCACCCCTCCTTTGTCTAACTTTAGGGCTTTGCTGAAACTACCGTATATCCGAAAATCCAGTCATCCATAGAATATTGGAATGGCATTTTTATCAAATAGATAATATTTAAAACAATGTGAGCCGTCACAAAAAGATTACAATCCCCATCCCTCCCAGACCCTAGGAATGGGTTTTGGAAGGACCAGTACACATCATTACTTGCATAAGACTTGGAGGTAACCTTTAACCCCATGCGTACGGGAAGCGGTCATGGCCGCGGCCGCTAATCCTCATTGGAATGCAGTTGCCAGCTGTGGTATGCCACACGGCTAGTGGGTAGTTCCACAGCTGCTGCTTTTGTGCAGTCCCACTACCACACAAAGGCTGTGCAGTCATGCAGGCCACTTGCTCTATGTGTGGAGGAATGTCCCCATTACACCCCGTCCTTAAGGGGTTAAAAGTTGAGTATATAAAAATGTGCAAGTAATTTCCTGCCAAATATTTGATATTGGAGGAATTATAAAGTTGCCTGGGGGAAAAAAGTACTTTTTATGCTGGCGGCTTTTCTGTTAATAGTAAGTGGGCATATGAACTTAGATACAACAAACATAATCAAAAATTGCTTGTATGAAAACAAAAATTGTAGCTATCTTCAAGAACTTTTTTAAAAAAACTGTTATACCTTCAGAATGAAGACAGAAGCAGACGCTGTGATCGGTGACAATGGATATGTTACCTTCGAGGACTTGTCCAATCTGAAATACACACAGGCGGTGAGATATTTTGAACATATTAGGGTTATCAGGTGAAAGGTACTCAAATATATTTTTGGTAGCCATAATCTAACTTTTCCCACCACAACCCTTCACAATAATATTTGCTGCAGCATTATTACTGTGATCCTGTGACAGTACAGATACATGTTACCAGATGTATGAAATTCAACCTTTACTAGACTAGAAACAACTTTCTGTGGAATAATTAACGGATTACAAAAGTTAAATTCAGGATTGCGGAGACTAATATTATAATTTTTTTTTTAATTTCCGGTAATGAAACTACAAATTCCTGAAGGCACAGTACCTCGCAAGCCTGAAGTAAACTGTAGAGAGAAAACAGTGAGAAGAAATTACAGTTTTAGAGGTGGGAGGAAAACCTCAGAAGGATATTCTGGGGAAACCCACGGAATCAGGTAGGGACTGAAAACCCAATCCACATGTGGACCTTGGTGGGAATTGAACCCGGGTTACAGCGGTGGAAGGCAAGGAAAGAACCACTGTGCTAAGCCGACTTTCCGAGATACTCTTAGGTGCAGAAAAACAGACATTAATATGCATTGCAGGGAAGCATGCAATTAACAAAGAGTTTACGCCGTGAAAGTTAATGTAACTGATGGTGATCAATCAGAGCGCAGTGACGTCACTGTTCACCAGTAAATTCCCCCGACCCTTACATCCCAGAGCCTTCAAGAAGCGAGCCAAGATGTTTTGAAAGATTTTGTAAGACTGAGGGAAGTAGAGCCTAGAAACTATCACTTTACATCTGATTTACTACTGCTTGATAGTTAATGTCCTAAGAATTTGCTAATGGAGGAGTGTTTGCAAAACCTTTTGATAAAAATGCTTAAGAGGTTAAGGTAAATACAATATATTCTTACGTTGAGTACTGTTTCAAATGTGTTTGTTTGAGTAACTTGGTGCACTTGTACTTGTTTCATTCCAGGTTTTGGAGGAAGGTTTGCGTGTCCATCCTCCAGTGTCCAGCGTTCCCAGACAGCTGACCAAAGATGTCGTCTATAATGGTATCAAAGTACCTGCAGGCACCCCCGTTTGGGTAGGTTTCCCTTTTTCCCTGATCTCGTCCTTGGCTCCCGATTTTTGTGTACAAACCTTACCAAACATTGTTGTTAAAAAGTCAACAGAAGAGTGACAAGTGGCTATTGCACTCAACCAAAAAAAGAAAGTCCCCCCTTCCAATACTTTTTTGTCTAACTCAAAAACTACTGAGCACCTCTCGCTCAAATAACGACTAATCAGTACGGAAATTCCTTAGCAATCCAGCCATACTCTTTATTTAGCCCAAAACAGTGATAATGTGTACGAATTTATGCAATTTATGACAAACGATACCGAAAACAGTTGCACTTTTGTATACGTGCAAGTTGTGGTTCACACTCGCCTTGCAGGTATACAAAAGTGCAAATTCTTTTGGTACCATTTGTCACAAATTGCATAATTTTGTACACATTATCACTGTTTGGGCCAAACAAAGAGTATGGCTGGATTGCTTAGGAATTGCTGTACTGATCAGTCGTAATTTGAGCAAGATGTGCCCAGTAGTTTTGAGTTAGACAAAAATGTATTAAGGGAGGGACTTTCTTTTTTGGTTGAGTGCATTTCCCCAAGGAATAGAAGGGGAGAGGCACCCATTGCTGTAGGTAGTCAGCTCAAAGACTATGTAATTACATAATTCAGGGCTAGTCGGGATTGGCGTGTGAATGGCTGATAGCTCCGCTTGGTACTCTGGCTTGAACATTACACGTTTGCCTTACAAGTGATATTGTCCCCAATTTGTATAACAGCGTTATAATATAAACGTGATCAAAATACAAACTTGTTTACATGAACTGACAAATGTGTCCATTCCAGTACATTAGAAAAGTACGGTGCTGGCCGCGTGGCAACTCTAATAATATCTTGTTCAAGCGTTAGCTTTCTGTTGACATTCCTACTCGCAGGTGAGCATGACCAACATGGCCAGGCAGGAGGAGTATTTTGAAAAGCCGGAGGAATTCATACCAAGTCGATTTCTGAATGACGAAAGGTAACAACTTAAGATGAGAATATTGGCTTCAAAAGAATTTGTTTTTATTCATCGGTATATTGGGAAATGCATTTAGACCCATTTTATGTAGCACCTTATAAGGTGCTACACTGCCAGAAACACCGGGGCAAACCCCTAACCCCTTCTATTAGCAATAATTACTGGGTTCTTTTATGTGCATTGCACAACACACGGGACCTACGGCTTTACGTCCCATCCGAGGGACGTAAAGCCGTAAAGTGTCTTGCTTAAGGACACAAGTGTCAAGACCGGGACTCAAACCCACACTCTGCTGATCAGAAACACCAGAGCTAGAGTCCGGTGCTTTTAACCACTCGGCCATGACACTCCATGAATAAATCCTTGTCATCTGACTGGTCAGAACCACCAATCGTGTGACTGTGAAGAAGTATTTTTTTCAAGTTTGGAAAGAGAATTATGTGAAGATTCACTTTATTCATTGGTATTTATAAGAATTGTTCTCACAAGAGATGTTACTTTGTTAATTACAACAGTTCTGTTTACTAGCCATGATAGGCTGTTGAAATCTGCTTAAATATAAATTACAAAGGTTGAGGGCCTGAAATTTTACAATATAAGAGCTATTCTCAAACTCCTGATGTTCCACCCTAGCAAAACTCTTTGTCATAAGATAATTCTGCTTAGGACGCTGAACTTCAAACAATTCATGTTTCAATGGAGGTTTACCTGTTTTTCTTTTATATTAGTTTCAAATATGTGCACATCCCCTTTTCTCTGGGCCCACGAAAATGCATCGGGCAGAAGTTTGCAATGGTGAGTGCTTGACATAATGACTCTCCAGTGAGAAGAGCCATCTTTGAATGCAGAACAGTGAAGTGAAATAAGATAATTCAGGATCAATCCATTATATTCTAGACATAAAAAATAAGGAGGGGTGAGCAGTGGTGCTAGTCCGAGTATCATCCGTTGTTCAATGAAGCTCGCAAGCTCCACAACAACGTCTCATATATGTGAGCATTGCAAATTTTATGCGACCCCACGTGCAAGCCAATCTCAGTGGACTTTAGAATCAGTTCGAGCAGAAATTCTGCCTCAGCTGTTGATTGGTCAATCGGTTGCCCTGTTTTTGAAATACAGCATCGGGTTACTGAAGACCAAATAGAAGGTGCCTGCTGAATGGTCAGAATCTGGAAGTCAAGACGCAGTCTTGTTTTGCATAATTAATCGCCCAATCTGCTCGCATATTATAGACCCTTGCTGTGCAAGTGGCTGCTCCATATACTACAGTGGTGCTTGCAATGACCTTTTCTTTACTCATGCTGTGCTCCTTTATGCTACGCTATGTTTATGCATTTTCGCCATTGAGTGGTACTTAGGGTTATAGGTAGGGTAGATCATTTGTCAATTTTGTGCATTGTTTTTGTTCGAAGCAACAAAAGCACTCAATATCCAAAGACAGGTGCTTAACATTAACAACTAACCTGATGAAGTTTTAGCTCTGTGACTGCTGAATATTTTGACAAAACAATATTCTAGGATCTCAGTTTCAATTCAAAAGTTGCTGAGTAGTGTTTTGTGATTTATGATTTCATCTGTGATGGACTTGTTTGCAGCTCTGGCCAATATATATTGTAACCAATAGTGGCGCAGTCAGAGACTTCAATAGCAGAGCTAAGTCCGGTTCATACTGAACGCGAAAGCGTACACGACCACGAATTTGAGATGCCATGTCGAGTTTTTGCGCTGTAAAATCGCAACAATTAAACACACTTCAACTTCGAATTTCGTGGCTAATGTTTCAAAACTTCAAACTCACCTCGTTTTGGCATTGGCGTGAAGACGGTGAAGTATATGGCATATTTCAGTTTCAAACATTGTCAAAAACTCTCCTATCTCCGCCACCCATGACAGATTGAAGCTCGTGTCATCATGGCCAAACTGATGAAGTATTTCCACTTTGAGCTGGTACCCGGTCAGTCGTTGCACTTCGTTAAGATGGTAACCTGCAAACCCAAGGACGGCTGCTTGGTGTACATCAGACCTGACGCTCCTCTCAACCATGTGACTTTACCATAAATCGGGCGGTCCGAGAAACTTCACTTCAACCAGCAAAGTTGATTTCTCAGGAGATTTCATCCTAACTGGGGCGCAGGATGGCCACTTATCAAATTTGAAAATCCCAAGACGACCACAGAAAAATTCCCAAGATTTCCCAAGATATCTTTACTCATAGAAATAGCAGCACAGACCCTATTTGTATGTGAATATTGCTCACAAAGTGCTTCCATTAACATTTTTGTGTTCTCAATATGCAAAAAAATGCCAAGGCTCAGCGAAATGTTCCCAAGCCCTGGCCTGAATTCCCAAGATCTTGGGAAAAAAATCCAAGGGGTGGCCACGCTGCTGAGGCAACATAAGCGCATGTTACTCATTGCTTGCTGTGTTGCCACTAAATTTGAGGCTACAATGAATGCACAGTGATTTGGACGGCGTATATTTTGAGCATACTAGCCTGCACCCCAAGCTCCATGGTACAACCATGGAGGCAGAATGGTATAACGGTCCGTGGCATGAAAGAATATTTAACTAAGGGCGCGGCTTGGTTTTGAATTTACAATGCAACAGCCTTTTTTGCAATAAATTTCACCCAGAGCTAGGTACACTTCGCTAGAGCAATTTGTACACGTTATTATCCCACATCTGACACTCAGCTGTACCCATCTCATCGGTCAGTTAGTGTGAATGTTCGGGTCGAGTTTCTTTCTTTAGTTTCCTTGGTTTGTGACTGATATACATGTAGTAGTACCTAAATTAAAGAAAAAGTTATGAAATAATGTTCAAGTTACAACTGAAAGCACACAATATTTTTTTTGGGGGGGGGGGGCCAAAAAAAAGTTGGTCCCCCAAAAAGTGTGTCCCAAATATTACGGCGTGGGGTTCGGGGCGCGCTTTGGGCGATTTTAGATGCTCTGTGGTGCCGATCTGAGGCTATTTCTTACCACTTTACCCAAATTGGAGGAAAAGATGGTGGTGTACGCAGTGCCTGCCTTTATTGCGACGCCACTTTAAAAAAAAAATGGTTTCGTTTTGGGGGAGGCCATGGCCCCCGTTGCCCCCCCCCCCCTCCCCAGATCCGCCCTTGGCCGGGTGTGAGGGAGTTCTGTTTTCACCAAAAAGTGCAACTTGAGGTGCATTGAAGTTCACGCGCTTTAAATCTGGAAAGTTAAATAATTAAACTAATAATTATTATCAAATGACAAATTCGGTCTGATCTTAAGTAAGACGTTCTTCTAAAACCCTCAGATATGAAAACATGGAAGGACTTTTTTCTGTTTGATAGGATTGAGCAATATATATGTGTATCTGAATATCTCATAATATTTTCCCATGCATCCTTATTATTTCATAGTTCACCATTTTACTAGAATGTCCAAAATAAAGGACTCCTTATAACTGCAGCTGTGGTTATAGGTTAAAGAGCGCGTCACTAAATCAGGCGGATATGTTTGTCAGTTATAGGCGCAAAAAGCAACCTAAAAATAAAAACTGTGGCTTCTTTTTCAGAGGGTTGCATACAGACGCCGAAAATAGAAATAAGATATTATTCGTGTGAAGTCTTAAAAATGCATATTAATGGAGCGAACAATTTATCATGGGCGTAGCATAATGTGTGCATAAGATATAAACAGAAAAGGGTTCTGATTCTGAAACTCGATTGGATAAAGTCGATCTCCGATATGACTTCACTAGTCAATGCGGGGCTTCCTAGCTTTCTCACCGCAAGGAATAAAATAATATGCTCGGGCCCGGGGGTGTCGTCTCCCCCCCCCCCCCCCCCCACCTCGTCAGTGCCGTACGTCCCCTAGCGCACAACTGGCTTTTTTAAAGTATGGCGGACCAATAGGAGGGCGCTATTTAGACTGCATGTGTAACCCTTTGTAGTTTATTCAAATTTACCACAGCCAGGTCCTATTCAAAACTGCATGAGCAAGTTCGTGATCTGCGCGCGCGGCGTCGCCGCAAAATCAAAACAATGGGCAAATTCGCCTCTCGGTATAGGGATTTTACACACAGTTGAAGAGTTCCAGTCAACTTAAATTCTATATGGAGTTAATTTTCAATTGTAAAGAAATCTCATGTGTATTTAATAAGGGAATAAATGTGTGCTTCGGAGGTTTTTATCACTCTGTTTAAGACCACTTAGAGTCTGGGTGCTGATAATTACCCGAGCCGGAGGCGAGGGTAATTATCAGCACCCAGACTCTAAGTGGTCTTAAACAGAGTGATAAATACCGACGGAGCACATATTTATTCCCATTCATAAATACCTTATCGGTAAGAAAAAATCATATAATTCGTTCAAAACATCCCGATTTTGTTCAACAAATTCACTTTATGCTTTTTGAAACATCCCTTTTGCAAAATAATGGAGTGTTCAGCTGGCGAGTAAGATGTAAACAACCCTTTTATGGAGATTGACGCGCGCGTATCATGTTCTGCGCGATGTCGCGCAGAACGCACCTGGCGCGTTGCGTTTTGAATTTAGAACTTTAAAATTCTGACTCCCTGGTAGTGTTGCGCATGCCTACGTGAGGATTGTGAACGTTCAACCAATGAAACGATAATAGGCACTGGATTTTTAGGAGTCCACATTTTATTGTGACACTGGAAAAGTGTTTAAGACCAGCTAGCCATGTCTTTATCATCCGTTTAAGACCGGCCACGTGACGGGCTCTCGACCAATAGGAATGCGTAAACTGTCTTAGGTATTTATGAATATGATTTACGTAGATTAAAAAACAGTAAGGTACCCAATATTTTCATGCAGGTATTTAGTACTACAGCCTATGGTGGCCCTGAAGGGACATCGCATATCGCAAACGTGTGCGCATACGTATGCGATGTCGCGAAATTTATCGCGAATGTGTGCGCACACGTATGCGATGTCGCAAAATTTATCGCGAATATGTGCGCACACGTATGCGATGTCGCGAAATTTATCGCGAATATATGCGCACACGTATGCGATGTCGTGAAATTAATCGCGAATATGTACGCACACGTATGCGATGTCGTGAAACAATTCGCGAATATGTGCGCACATGTATGCGAATTTGTTTGCAATGTCGTGAATTTTATTGCATACCTTGTCGCATACCTTTCAGTAAAATTCCTAATGAACTGGGGAGTTGTAGCAGCTAGTCTGGAATCTAGACGTACTGTTAGATATAAATAGGGTCTGACTAATAAACCTTCGCGCGCACGCTGTTCCTCGTGCAATCGTTACTACTAGTACTGTCGAGCGCAAACTTGCTACTTGCGCAACTTTGAAACTTGCGCGCGCAACTTTGAAACTTGCGCGCGTAAATTTCAAAGTTGCGCAAGTAGCAAAAGTGTGCGCATATATTCGCGATAAATTTCGCGACATCGCATACGTGTGCGCACATATTCGCGATAAATTTTGCGACATCGCATACGTGTGCGCACACATTCGCGATAAATTTCGCGACATCGCATACTTATGCGCACACGTTTGCGATATGCGATGTCCCTTCAGGGCCACCATAACAGCCTCATTTACCCCCAAAATGCGCGTACTGTCAACAAAGTACGTTTTGCCCATGCACTATTATGCCAAAATCATGGTTTTACGCGCATGACTGGCGATCTACGATTTGCGCAGACCTGCAAATCGACTCCATGCATAGACCCCAATGGTAATTACGCGTACTTCCAAAATGATTTTAAAACACTCACAACTCTCTCCAAGGTATTTGAGACACACACCGAATTCAAGCTTATTTCATCATTTTTCATTTTCTTTTTCATTTCATTTCATTTCATAGAGCAATTTGTATACGTCATTATCCCACATCTGACACTCAGCTGTACCCACCTCATCGGTCAGTTAGTGTGGCGCCTACGCTCTATTGCAAACTAGAGCCATTTTATGGCCTACTTTCATCCAAATTTCACAGAAATACCAGCTTGCAGTCCTCTGTACGGCTTCCACCCTTCTCTTTTCCAAATTCTCAAGTTCACCGCCCTCAACATGCTTTAATACCTGAGATACAAATATGCCTATTTCCAGATCTGCACCCTTTAAATGTTTGTGAAATTTGCCCACTTCAAATAACGCTCTCCTCTCTTGTTGTGTCTGCCACACTTAAAAAGTTGTCCTAATGTTTGTGCCTTCCGTTTCACTGCTCAGAAGGAATGAACAGTGCAAACAATGATACTTGTTATGTTTGCCGTGCTAAAACGTGCATGCCGTGAAAGAAGCCCTTAAAAGCGTTAGGCCCTCGGGCAATGGGGTACATCAGGAGAATTAGGATGTTAGTTTGAACAGCCGAGCGATGCTAATGAGATGGTCGATAATAATTTGAAGATATATGAAGGCTTTCAATATAAAACCGGTGCAGTATGAATTTTGGACGCGATATGAAATACGGTCTAATTGGTAATTACGCATGACTCAGTATAGAGATACTAAATTAAGCCAGTGGTAGTTCATGTGTACGGATTAAAATACCAGATTTCACAGTATTCAAAATTTCATATAACATTACGCGGTCCCATTGCAACGTGAAACTGTTCACTCTTGAACACCTGCCACAAAAGATTCTTTTTGTGATGGCCGTCAAACTCTTATTGTAAGTTTGTTTGTTGGTGTAATTCTCGACGACACCATGCATGGGCTGATTGGTACATGATAATGTTTAGCATTCTTCTATTCGTGTCATAGTATTACTATAATGCATGGGCCTATAGATCTATTGCATTGCAGTCATCTTTGAAGTGAGTGCTTTAGTTCCATAGACATACGCATGATACCTCTTGCAGTCATTGATGTTGAATAAAACAATAACCCAGCCAAAACATATTGATACAATTGCGGACACAAAATAGTCGTATGCTGTCGCTAAAAAGACCGTCGAGCCTCTTCACAAAGCGGAGCGAGACTAGTATAATAGTAGGCATGTATACCATTTAGTGAAAAGTAAACTATTTGGAGAGTTGTACAATGTAGTTCCAAACTATTCTGCTGCTGTGCTTATGATGACAATGCAAAACGCTTTGGAGAAGTGAAGAGGTAAACGATATATCTGCGTGTTGCATTGTTTAGTGCCTTGAGGACTGAAACCTTTCGACTGTTAACGATACCATGAAACTTGTTTTGTTAGTCGAGTAAAAAGGTGATGGGTCATATCAGTCGAAAAATACTATTCGTTGAAGCTGCTGTTTTTCCATTTTATATGCGCTTGTTTTTTGTATAGTAAAATTTAAAGGCCTACTTAATCGCATGTGCCAAAGGTACTGTTCAATTATGTTTTGTAAATTATATTGGTAAATATATTTACTCAAAATTACATTCCGTGGCCACAGATGTGGTACATTGTAAACAAGCATTTCTATTGTAGACTAGCATGGGATGATAGGAGGTGCAGTGTCAAAGTTTTCTTAAAACATACCAATAAAACCACGTTTGAAATGATCACTGTCAATCAATCGAAAAGCTTGAAATCTGTATAGGAAGACGTGGTGTACTTGGTATAATGAAACAAATTCGATAAAAGCTTTAACGCTCTGAAAATATTGTAAAGAAGACCACAAATATTCGACCTTACAATATGGAGTATACAACAGATTCCGGTGATTCGTGATTCAAAGATATCATGAGTCCCCTCTGCCCTACATCTTGTTCCGCATTATATTTAATAGACCTTTAGGCGGAGTTAGAGGGCAATGTTTTGGTATCGCTTGGAATGCTTAGGTAAACCTTTTTGTGCATTCATTGTTACTAGATTAGAAATAACAAAGAACAGCCTCTGAGATAGCTGCAGTGTATAAGGTCACTTTATCGTCGAATCATAGATAGATAG